TTGGCTTCCAGATTCATGGGAATTTAAAGTAGCAATGTGAACATCTGTTGGCACACCAGAAGTTGCCCTCTGTCTCACTCTTCACACCTCTCTAACATGCCACATATATCCCAGTGCCACATGGCTCCTTCACATCCTACTGAATGATGCTCCACACTCTACTTGCCTGAGAGAGAGTATGTCTTTGTCTTCCTTCCCACTCTCTTGGTCCAGTGCAACAGCTCTGAGGTCTGTCTCATTCTTCTCATTCTTCCGCATCTCTCTCTCTCTTCTTCATGGCTAGAAAGGCAAGTAGAAGAAGCTGAGGCCCTTCATAAGTACATGGCTTGTATAATACCAACTTTGAGCTCTCGGATTAGAACATTTTTATTTCCTTGAGTCAGCCATCCTTTTGGATTTGAAAGATTTTCTTAATTCTTGTTGCCTAATCTTTTCTCTTATTCTCTACATGGCAGGTGATATTCATGTGGAAAGCCTGGGTTTTCATAAAGCTGGTCCTCAAATTGGGGTGGGGTGGGGAGTAAAAAACTACAATAATACAATAATGTTTCATGATCATAGTCACCATGGGTACATGAGTAATAGTGGATGACTATAAGTATATTATAAAGGTTATAAGTAGTGCCCACGCGCTCGCAGGATAGCCATAATTCTACCCCATTCTCTTTCACTCTACAAAGTATATGTAAAGGAAAGGAAAATAGGGTGATTTTATATACTTAATCCTGACCCTGACATAATAAATATAGAGTTAAATACCAGAATGTATATATTAATAACATTATTATTGTTAGGTTCATCTCTCCAATGGCTATTCTACGCCTAACTCTGTTCGGGGTTGTACTAACTGTACTAGGGGACAGAATGCTGTGTTGTCTGGCCTTGTCTGCTGCATTCTGGTGTTCTTCTAACCCAGATGCTTTATCTGCTCACTGAACAGTGAGCAGCACACACTTTATGCCTTAGTCATACAGATGGGAGAGAGAGAAAGGGAGAGAGGTGTGGAGGGATTTAGGGAATACAGAACTAAAGTGTCAAACTCTAACCATGTCTTCCATTTATTTGAAAAAATAGTGAGGAGGTGGTCAGAGAGGAGAAGGCAAAAGGCTTATAATATTGAGAACTTTCATCTTGAAAAACACTACAAAATATGTGCTGATTTGAATCCCACTTTACAGATTTATGGAGGTCAGTATCTTAACTAAGAGCATGGTTAGTGACAACCTTAAACCTAACCTCTCTGATTCCAAGTACTATTCCTGTAAAACTTCCACCGTGGAGGACATCTTTCTGCTTTACTAAGAGGCTGACACCAGGTTCCAGCCTCCACATTATTTTACTCCTCAATGCTCCCTTATCTCTGGCAGGAACCTTAAAGGGGGGGGGGGATGCATTTAATTTCCTGTTATTCATTCATTTTTTGTCTCACAAATTCACCCAACTCAATAGGCTTGTGTTATCCCACTACAGCTTTCACTGCCTAAGAAGCCCCAAATAGGCTGAGGCTGTTTCACCAGCATTAATAAAGTTTATATTTATTTCAATTCTACTAGTTTGTTTTATAAATATTTTGGTTGAAAATGTTAAAGGCTATTGTTTTTTATTATAGTTGTTATATTGTCACTACTACCGCCAACCCTATAAGGCAATAATAGCACCTAAATATTTGTTTTTACTTACTTTAATTAAGGTAGCTCAATGTCTAAAGTCTTCATGTTTCTGTTTCAAATAACTGATAAATAAAATAACCAACTAAACCTTTAGGTCTAATGCTAAACAAAGCATTAATCAAAACCAGTCTTCAGGAAGCATATATTATAATTTTTCTAAAAATTAAGGTGTCCATCTCTTTCTCAGTTGACAACTGTTTTTTGTTCTTGTTGTTTGTTTTTCTTTATTGTGATTATATGTCAGTGAAGGTAAAATACGTGGATTCTGGAACCAGAGTATAAGGATTTGAAATTTGACTCTGCCCATATTTTTTTTTAGCAGAAAGTAAAATTGACTTCTCTGAACTTCAATTAAATAAGCTAATACTTAAATGAATATAAGTATAACTGCATAATAAATATGCACCCAATAAGACTTAACTGTTATTAACCCCGAGAGAGTAATTACTACAAGCAATCCCTATAATTTCATTGGGAACTCTTGTAAAGCAAGAATACTTGATCTGCAAATTGCCTCCAAATGTAATGAAATTTTAATATTAAAGTTAACAATTAATGAAGATGATATAATAGTACATTTTGGAGATATTTAATTAAATATTTATTGTTTCAATCTTGTAGATTTCTTTTTAGTATTCTGAACCATTTATTTTTTTCCAGCCTCAAATATTTTTACTGGTCCTTGCACAGCTTATAGGCCCTAAACACTGTGTCTATTGTGCTTGATGGAGAGACTGGCCTTGGCTGAGGTAAATGCAACAGCCTTGACTGCCACCTTCCCTGGCCTAAATACCATTCCTGTGATAGCTTGTCTTGTGGAGAACATTCTTCCTCAGCAAGTTAGAAGGTTTCTAGAAATTTTGGAAAGGTTACCAAACAATAACTCAAAAATAGAAAAGTTAAGCAAAAAATTAGATGTCAATGATGAGGCAAAATTCTTACATTACTTTTGCCTAAGTTCAAGTTCATACATAAACCTAAACCTAGAATGAAACAGGCTCTGCAATGAGGCATAAATAGAAGAAAGAGTGGTTGAAATGGGCACTGGTCCAGGAAGGAATATCCTTTTTGATAAAGTAACTGTAATTTGAGAAACAGGTGATTATGGTATTGTAATAATTGCAAAACATTCAATCTTATGGGACCAAAGAAAAAAATTAACTTTTTGCCTCAATATATAAAATGGATCAAATATCTACTAGTTCTAGGATATTGGATTTTAAGTATTATTATTTAGGAAATCCTTCAGGAAGAGATATGAGGAATGATGTTATTTTGATACTCTAAGCAATTTTTCTGAAAATGTGGTGTGCCATGGACCATGAGGCCAAAATATTTCAAATTAATACTAGAGAAATATTGCCTTTTTCATTGTGCTGACATTTACATTTTGCAAATTGCATTGCTAAAGCAATAGGGAGTAAAATTTTGATACCTTAGTACAAAGGCAGTGGTACTAAACGGTACCTACACTAAATCAGAGAAAAGAAACTAATACAAGAAAAAAACACTTTCACTCTAAAATAACCCTGCTGAGGCAGAAAATATCGTCTATTTTATTGAGTCTCAACCCTTCGTGTGCCTTTTAAATTACTGGAAGTGTATAAAAATCACTTCTTTAAGATTTATTTATTTATGAATATAAGAACTGGGGTACAGGTTAGAGGAGGGGAAGAGTGGGGAAGGGGAGGGGAGGAAGGAGTGAGAGGACTCACCAGAGACAGAGTGGGGAGAAGAACAGGTGGATCTACTGAAACACATTGCTGAGGGGAGGAGCATGGGGTCAAAAGATATCTGCCACACCATATGGGCCACTCCCCTGGTCAAGGATCAAACTGTGCTGCAGTGGCTACGAACAGCTTCCTAGCACTGTGCCCCAACCTGTGACCCCAGCAGGGAGGGGCCTGAAAAGCACCTCTGCTACTTACCAAAGTAAATAGGTTCTTTTCAGAAAAAGTATTCATTTGAGTTACAAACTGAACTAGCCACTTGTTTTCATGTGATATCATTTTTACTTGAAATAAAAATTGGCAGCAAACTACTATAGTCATATTTGAGTATTTGGCAAGATTTTTGAAAAATAAAATGGCGGTAGGGAGCCTGTCATATTACAGAAAATAACCAACAAGCTACATAGATTTCAAAATAAAATTAGAATTTTGGAATATGTTTATATGTCACGCTGAGCTTGGCCTCTTACCAATACTTGAAGACTTTGGTGAGACTGGTGGTAATAAAAATGAATAAGATATTTTGAAATTAAAAAAAAAATGAGTTAATACTTGGAAGATATGAATAATTCAGTGAGTCATGATTTTTCAAATAGCCAAATCATGATATTTCATATCCACTTAAAATGGAAGATAGACCAACAAATTGTAGAAAGAATATAAAAGTTTATGGATTTGATCTAAAATTACAAATTTAAGATTGCAGATAAGTTTCATTAAAGAGTCATTGTCTGATTTTGACAGAGTAACAGAAAAATAAAATCTTCAGTTACCTGAAGAGTATTAAAATACTTTCTTCTTTCTGTTTACATACGTCTCTGAGATCATATCTTCATTAAACTTTTCAAACAAAACAAATTTTATTAAAACAAATATAATACTAAATCAGACATGAGAATTCATGTTTTCTCTACTAGTCTGGGTATTTAAAACACCTACCCCGGAGTGATCCATGTGGCATGGCAGACCTCTCCTGACCTGCCGGCTACTCCCCTCGGCAGTTTCATCGACCTGCCTATTCTGCTCCCCACTCTGTCGGTGGTGAAAACTCTCACTCCCTGCACCTCTGGCCTGTACCCGAGTTCTGTATGAATAAATAAATCTTTTAAAAAATTATTTATCTTAATATGCACTGGGTTTTTATTTTCATAAATTAATATTGTAAGATTTGCTTAGTTTCAACTTCTAAATGGTATATTGATTAATATAATTCATATAAACAAAGGTGCTATGGTCCACAATATTTTTTATGAGTGGAAAAAAAGTGCTGTGAAAAAGTGGAGAAAAATAAAAATTACTGACTTTAACTATATTTGAAGCCAGTGGCCATTGTGACATCAGCATCAGGTCAATAAACATATATGAGTAATTCCGTGCAGTTGACCATTATTTCAGAGTTCTCTGGTGGACTGCCTTTTAAGAAGTAAATCACCTAAGAGTGACTACTACAACCTCTGATGTTCTCCATAGTCTATTCGATGATGTTACCAGGAAGGACATCCAACAAATAGTAAGAGAAAGACCATTTCATTTTGGTATTGCTTCTTTCTTTGATTCTGGTCAAGTTTCCTAACACCTTACCTCTGTTTCATTATGAGAAATGTACAAACTACAAGCCAAAAGGGTAAAAGCTACTGCTGGGCGGGTGTGGTCTTCAAATCTCTCCAAAATCAGAAAATCTCTTAAAAATGTTTACCATAAATGTAAGAACCAATACTCAGAGTCAACGCGATACCCACCTAAGACTTCCTATGACTGTGACCAAGAAGACCTCAGTACTGATGAAGAAACAAACCTGACAGCCATGCTCCAAGATATCAAAACTATCCAATGTGAACTCCTCAGTCAAATAACCAATATTGTCAGTGAAGTACCAAAAATACAGAAAAATGTTGATTTTTTTCAGAAGCATACAGAGGGAATGGAAACTAGAATGAATGCTAATGAAAACAAACAACACACAGTAACCAAAGAGATCTTCTTTCTGAGAAAAGAGATTGATGATTTAAAGAAGAAGGTGATAGAACTGGAAAACCAGAATTCTTGTGCTAGTGTACATTATTTGGAGATTCTGGAAAGGGAAAAGGGTAAAGAGATCATAAAACATTTTCATCAACTCATCGAACCAGAAACATCAATCTCTACAGACGCTGAAATCCACTCAAAAGAACCAAAGACAATGTCTAGTTACCTCCAGCCCACTGGTCATCCTGAGGAAAACACAAGTTCTACCAAAGTTAAAAATTTGAAGAAAATTAACCAGCCAGATGCTTCAAGACACTTAAAAAAGGCAAATCCACATATTCATATTTACCCAGACTTTCGTACATGGATCAAGCTAACTTTTGTCCATGGAGAAAAGTGGGGATTTTTTCTCAGTCCAACAAAATTAGAGGAATTCATTCAGTGGCTTCTTTCTAGACCAACCATTCCTCTTGAGGAACCACAATGCATAACCCAGAGATATTATCCACTCGCTGGATCTATTGCAGGCTTGACCACAATCTGCCTCTCTGTTTTCAACTATATTTGCTGTCTTTTTGGTTCCTCAAAAGAGCAAGTAACTCGACTGTAAACTTATTTTCTGCTTTGCTTGGCACAAAATAAATACAACCTGGTTGCTCCAAGCATTCACACATTTTTGTAGTTGCTGTGAATTCCTTCATAGTTTGCTCACCATGGGCTCACTCTCTGTTGTTAAGTTTCCATGTGCCTGCAGTAAGTGAAGACATATCTTTCCAGGGGGTAATTGTGGTGCATTTTCTGTCAATGTTCTTGTCTTCTTAAAGGTAATTCAGGAGGACTCACCTATTGCCTATTTCATAGATAATTGGAAGCAAAGAGCAAGGGAGGTCAAGGAAATGTGAAACGCATTTTGTAGCTCCCTAAGCGTTCTCTGCACGTCTGTCTGAGTGGCCTTTGTGGGTAACACTGGGATGCCAGAGACAGACTGCGGCTGCCTTTAAACAGCACTGAGTGAAAACAAACCCGCATTGAAAGGACTAATCATTACCAGGAGGACACTCACTACAAAAATGAGATTATTCTTTCAAATTCAATTTCAATCTTTATTAAACAATTGTTAAAGGGGGGAAACTAAAAGCTGAGTAATTTTTACATTTTCATGAAGTGAGGTAAATGCCATGTCCTTTTTGTATTTTGCATATGGGGAAAAAAGGAATTTTAAGGAGCGATGTATAAACCACATTAAACCTCAGCTTTACAATACCTTTGACACCTACATGGTAAAGTCTGGTTTTCTATATGAACCATGTACCACATATCCAGAGTGGGCTTTATAATAGGTGGTTACCATTCTAATGCAATTTTTCTAAACATCATGCAGAATAATTACAAAAAGAATGTTTCCTTCACCACCTAATTCAGTAAATGAAACATGTCAACTGTTACATGCTATTTAAAAATAATTTATAAATTCTCTTGCCAGACGTACCACCTTAAGGTATTCTCAGTTAATCATTTGAAAGAAGGATTCTGGCATTTTGATAAAAACAGCCCAGTTTCAAATAAGAAAAAAAATGAGCTAAGGTAGGAAACTGAGAAGTAAGATGAGAAGACAAATTCTGTCTGGTGCCAGCCTGGTGCCATGCAGTAGATATATATTTTTTAATTTTCAAATGCATTTGACCCCATCACTTGATCCTTTTTGACAAGTGTATAGATGTATGTGTGGATGGTCACATCCTATACCTACTTAAAGCAATACTAGATATTATATGGGTTAGCTTTAAATGGGATAAGTTATCGTTCTGGTAAAAGCACAAGCAATCTGTGCATTTATTTATCATCACAGATATTCGTAGAGAACAGCTATAGTTCTAGTTTGAAACATGGGCTGTAGCCCTCACACCGGGGAGCAACTAAGTGAGGTTGGGCCATGACAAAGGCAAGTGACATCGTAGACGGCATCTGGGAGAGTAAAAAGAGACTCAGCTGATATTTGCTTGGGTCATCTGAGCTTCTTCATTAATGCTCGCTTTCATTCTTTTCTTACATGCCTTCTTACTCTTGTTTAATGCTTCCAGAGAAGTAAAGAGTTAGGAAAAGTGCATAGAAACCTCAATTCTGAACAGTTTAAATTCCACGCTTACTTTCTTCTCAACTAGAAAAAGGGAACCATATTAACTTAGAAAATATTTTTCCAGTGTTTGCTAATAGCAGTGGATCATTGTGGAAGCTAAAAGTAAAAGTAGAAGACATTCCCTATACTATAGGCACATAACATCAAATGGGATAATGGGATAAGTAAGATGTGTGCAAACATAACTCTAATGCATGAAAAACAAGCCCGGCCGCAAAGAGCAATCAAGTGTGGCAGAAAAAGTTCTTCTGATATTGGAAAAGAGGGTTGATGAACTGATAGGAGAGTCAGTGAGGGTTGTAGCGCAGGTAGGGGGCACAATGAGCACAGGAGTGTGTCCAGAAAGGAACGTGGAAGATGAAGATCACCAAGCGTTTTATCAACATGTAAGTATTGATAGGGTATTATATAAACCTTCTTCTAGGTCTCAGGTTTCTCTTCAGGGATTCCTCACCAGGTACATTTTAACTTGTTGTGACCTTCACCAGAATGTTAGAGGAAGTTAAAGCAAGAACACATGATATTCTCAGGGTCTTAAACTTCCCATAGAGATGGAACAGTTTAAATTCCACACTTACTTTTCTCTCAACTGTCCTGATAATTTTGCTTTTGAGTCAATTATTTTTTAGCAGCATTACACAAGGTGATGCATCACTTGTTAAAATGATGACTCAACTTGTACTACCTGGAGCAAGTAATTTCTCCCACAGTTCATTCTTTCAAATGCACCTGCCCTCACCCAACTCAACTGTGATGTCCCTCCTGTCCAAATCTCCTCTTGCAGTGACTCACCAGGTCGTCATCAGTTAGTTCTCTCCTCTCATCCACCTTAATCACAACCTACCAGTTAATTATACTCAGCTTATAAAAATACATGTTTGACAGTGCACTGGACTGTGGTGATGGCACACAGGTGAATTGGTGGTGGGAAGCCCATGGGGATTACAATTGAGATGAAACAATGCACAAAATGAAAAATGATGTAACATAATAGTAGTAATAATAATACGTGTGTGATTGTTCCCCCTCCTCTCTTGCCAGTTTCTCATTTTTCACTTTGAATGAGAGGCCTGCACTCCTGTTCCCTTCCCTTCCTCTCCCATTCTTTCGTGGTCCATGTGACCACCCCTTCCACCGCTCTCTTCTGGAAAACACTTCTGGGTTTCTTAGGTGTTTCCTCTGCCATTGATGTTTCTGCTCCATCCCTTAAAATACAGATGCTTATCTTTGATAACTCCTAAATCAGAGACTGGCTTTATGCAGTTCCATTCCAAGTCACTATTAACCTTTCTGCTTGGCTATCTGCAGCATGCTCAAACTGTCTGCTCTTAAAATCAGTTTTAATACCTCTTTCTTCTTTGAACTCTGAACCCAGTTCTCTTCCTATGTCCCTCATTGGTAATGGCCTTACAGTGCAAGCTATCCACACCCCGAAACTCATCTTCCTCTCTCTATTTATCTCCTAACTAGTCATCAAATCTTTTCCATTTATCTCCCAACAACTCTCAGAACCCATCTCTATCTCTGTCCCCACTTCAGTTTTGGTTCAAGTCTTGAAAATATACTTTATTAATTAAAAATTTCCCTGCTTGGTACCCCAACATTCAAGATACCTTAAACCATTTCTGAAAGGGTAATATTTTCAATAGCTCTGAAATCTTTTTATTGCTGCTCAAAGCAAGGATAATAAAATCCAAATTCCTTAGGAGAACTATTACACAGCCCTTTCCATCCTGCATTCTTACCTTTGTAGTGTTCCTCTGTGTAAAGCACAATGCCTCTGCTGTCAGACTGGCCTGATGTGAGAACTGGCTCTGTCACTTGCTATGTGGCTTTGACATTAAGCCAAAGTTCAAATTCTCAAAGCCTTCGTGTCCCGTTTTCCTAAAATAAGAATAATAATCAGGGGTTGTGGTCAGAAATAATGGGATTGTTATGTGAAACTCTTAAAAACATAGTGTATGTGCAGAAAATAGGAAATAAATACCATTAATGATTACTTTCTCATCTTTGTCTTCCCATATAAAATTTCACATAAAAACCACTAGCTAGGCACAGGGAGTATCTTACAGATTTTTTTTTTCAAATCTCATGTCTTTATACTTACTGCTCCTACTCTCTTGAATGCCTTTCCTTTATCTGGATAATAACCAATAATTTGAGTGTCAGTAGAATCTCAACTTAAATACTTTCTAAGACACCAGAATTATTCTACTTCAGCCTCTCTGAAGCAGAACTGGAGATTCCCTTAACAACCAGTGTTGCTTTTGATTTTTTTTACATGTATAAAATCTTTATCTTTCTTCTATTTAAATAAATAAATATTGGGGCAATAGAAATTATTATCACCACAATGGCAATTTGAATTAACATGTCTGTCTCTCTCATAAAACTTTGGCTTTTCGTAACTGAGAAAAAAAGGGAGACCTGTTTAGCTTGTACACAAAAATAATTTTACTGGTAGATTCTCATTAAATGTCTTTCAATTAAAAAGAAGAAGAAAAAAGTACCACTGTATTCTACCCCCAAAAATGAGAATAAGTAAATTAAATGAATGTTTATAATATGTATGTCAAACATAACATCCATTATATGTTCTCTAAAATGTTTCAAGCCACACCGTTACTATATTGAACGCATTTATTAGTAAGACATCACTTGACAGTGAAAAGTGCAAGGACATTCAAAGCATAACAAATATTAGAATAGGTACTTATAGAATGTTTAGTATCTATCAAGCACTGTACTAGGATTTGGGTATTCATTTGGTGAACTTCATATATAGGAAAGTTTGACAAATTCATTAAGCCTTTTTACTCTTCAGTTCTCTCAACTCAATTTGGAATTGAGAATAACTTCTAAGTGTACTAATTAAGTTAAACCACATTTATAACCTGCCCAGAACAGTGACTAACTTAACAGATATTTAACAAATGATATTTAACAAGGATTTCCTTCCTTGTCTAGGCTTGATGTTTAAAAAAAAAAAAAAGGACATGAATATGAAAAGAACATGAACCCTAACTCAAGGAGCTCACATTCAGAATTCTTTCTCCTTTAATCAGGCACAAAGGACTCCAGACAAATGATGAACCAAGTGACAGGCTAAATACAAATGCTCCAAACCAAATCTTAACTCATCCAAAGATACTGTGATAAGAATAAGGCCGGGTGTGAAGTTCTCCTCCTGGTCTGGGCATGCAACCAATATTCCATCATCTCAAATAGCCATTCGCCAATTTTCAATTGCACACCATGAAAAAAAAAAAAGTGCATCACAGAAAAAGCATTTAGGGAAAAGAGGAGAGGTTCAGTTTAAGATAAATAATTTAGTTCAGTTTGGGACACTCACATAGATGCAGACACTAAAGCCTTCTGTTCATTCAAAACAATCACCAACATTTATTGAAACATTAAATTGAACATTTATTGAAAACTGACTCTATGCCAGGAAATAGCTGGGGTAGCCTTGA